TTAAATGGTGTAAGTTCATTAAGTCCATTCCAAGGCATTTTAGAAGTCCATTCCAACAATCCCCATGTCCAAACAAGCAATTAAACACTCAAAATCACACCAACATGAGTTTACGGCCGTAAACTCATGTATGTATGTGTTTTGTGGTTATAAACTCCCTTAAATATTTACTCTTGGGGAGTAAACTCAAATTCCAAGTCCCTAGTGCCATTTCACGTCCAAAGATGTCACCCGGGTCACTCCAAACGCTCGTTTTGAGGTGTTTAACCTCGTTGGAGTGTAATGCTCCATATAATTAGTGATTTTAAATCTAATTAGATATATATGGACATTATTGCATTTTACATAGGGACATCACGAGTAATCAAGCCCCGAACCAACGTCTAGTGTCCGAAACTGTCGCATTTCCGAGTCTGGTGAGTTCATACCCCTACCCTTTTCACTATTTTCACTGTTTTCAGGGGGGAACACAAGCAAAAGTACAAGGGATTACTTGTACTCAAAACATGTTTTCATGTGTGTGTTTCACATTTTATATGCTTTTAACACTGATTGCTACAACTGATAATCGTTTGAACATGCAGATCACGTAAACATATATTTGTGAAATGGATTTTAAACTGTTATGTTTTACATATATTTCACAAATGGTTTTCCACATTTTATCAGTTAAAAGCATGATATTAGAACATTTGAACATAAAACCTGTACACTGTTTTGTTCTCGGTAACACTCCACATAAATACGCGAGTGGGGGATTATCATATTATTACTAGTAAATTTGTTAATCCTGTATGATTGGAGACACGTCCTCAGCGAACACTCCACAGAGATACGCGAGTGGAGGACTACACCCGTAACCAGAATCTCTGGGATTTAGAGAGCGTGACTTGAGTGTATAGATCTATACGGGGCTGACTACCCCACACCTGGCTGCTAGCTACAGCCGAACCGAAATGGTTCAAGGGTGACGAAAGTCATAAGGATGTGGACTACTTATTGCCACAGGTTTAGTCCATCGTATGGTTATGGAACTCGCAATTAGGATAACAGAGATTTACTTATGGTAATAATGAACAACTTTATACAATTCACAAGATAACCAGGTTTTAGTATACATCTTTCACATACGGTAACCAACATTTAGGAAAGTATGGGACTTTCCTGGGAAACCTTGTACATAACGAGGTCTAACAGGAATACATCTTTTACATACGGTAACCAACAATCAGGAAAGTATGGGACTTTCCCGGGGAAACGTTTACATAACCAGAAAAGGGTAACAAACCAAATAACTTTATATCTTTCATGTTTGGTAACACACAATCATGAAAGTATGGGACTTTCCTGGGAATACATTGGTACATAACCAGAACAAAATGTCAAACCAGATAACCTAACTGTACATTTACACGATAGAAAACATGTTTTCAGTGTACAATTTTACTTTACATGTTGACAAATGATAACAAACCTTTTTAAGAAAATATGGGATTTTCTTGGTGTGCGTAACATTTCAGAAACAGAAAGGAAACTTGAACATTTCACAAACAAAAACCGCTTATGAACTCACCAGCGTTATGCTGATTTTTAAACCGCTTGTGTTCTCAAGTCAGCATTAGAACAGGTACCCGAAGATCCTTTTTGTCTAAAGACGGAGTACTCAAAAGACCCGTTTCATTTTGTTCATATATATACTATGTATCACAACTGTACTGTCACACCCCAAAACAACGAACGGTGGAAACGTTCAGGGGTGGAGGACGTCATGTACAGTATCACAACAGTGTAATATAATAAACAAGCAACAACATCATCCATTGCATTATAAGTAAAGTTTTAATACATGTGTGTTCTTCATTGTAATAAGACACCAAAAATATACAATCAAAATAAAAGACGAGACTTGTTTGCTCCGTCTTCTCAAAACCTGGCCTCCATACCTTCTACTGATGACCTGAGAATACAAGTTATTTTGAAAGAGAGTATCAGCTTTAAAGCTGGTGAATTCATAAGTATTTAAGTGTCATTGTCTTGCTTACTGAAAACTGTTTTAAAGGTCATGCAAACCTTTAAATGTAAATGTTGATGTAAGTATGAAAAACCCTAGAAAATCCCTTATTTTCTATCAGTGTGAGATGTAGTCTTCTACCAAGACCCGAATGTTTTGTTAGTAAAATGATAGTTTTTTCCTTTAATTGTTTAGTACTAAAGTACTTAGTCAAACTCATCGTTTATGTGAAAGTATCACAAAATAAAGTAAACAGGAAAATGTACTACTGTAAGTGTTGTCACTAGGTACTAGGACCAACACAACGTCGCGTTAAGTGAAAAATGCAACCTAATGAACATCCGAAGATTGTCCAAAAAAGTAATAATGTAAGTGTCATCGCTGGGTAGTAGGAGTAACACAACATCACAATAAGCGAAAAGTATAACCTTATGAACAATCGAAGATTGTCCACTTGTCCTCTGTAGCAGCAGCAGGTGGGTGGAGGGGTTAGCCCCGGTTATCGATCTTCCTAGTATAAGTAGTAACCTTAGACCTCCGTAGATGGTCATCGACCACTGGTGCTAATCAGTGGGGTTCAGAATGGTAAGTCCTGCCTAGATATCACATCGAACCGGGATAGGAAAGATAATTTACACAGAAAGTACTAATAAATTATCCTCGTAGTTCTAAGTACAAGTATCCAGGTAAGTGAATACAGGATAATGCACCTATGTAACAATGTTCCTGTATGATATTCATGTAAGTGTGTTCATGTAACAGGTAAGTATATGTATATGTACTCATGTATCAGGTAATGTACTAGTATAGACTCATGAATGAACTGACTCTTGTGTGATTCCTTGTAATAGGAGTAATGTTTGATATCTTCAAATTATCCCTATGATAATTTACTAAACTATAATTGGTTGTTCATGTAGGTTTATACACTCTTACTACTAAAGGGTGTGGGAAGAAAATGAAAGATGTAAACTATAACATCAATACATATATAAGAATATAAGTGTATATGCATAGTTTAGTTCAAGAATGTAAAATGGTTTTATAAGACATCTTATGGGTTTTGAACAATAATTAACAATGACTTGATGTCATTTTTAATATACATTTCAAAGGTAAAGCATTTGATAATAATGTTTTTTTAAGATTTAAAACCATTTCATGCATCACATTTTGTAGTATGTGAAATCTGTTAAATGACAAACACAGTTATAAAATACATAACAATGATTTAATAACATGTTTGTTTCTACTTGTATTCCCCCCGTTTAAAGCATTTAAAATCATTTAAAACATTGATTAGGGGTATGAACTCACCTGTAGTTGGTGATTGGGATGAACTGAACGGTATAGGATTGCTAGGTGTCAAGCGAGGACTTGTACACACACTATGATCCTAATGAACATATAATCACACATATATGCATTCAATTAGACTTAAATTACTAATTGATAATGTTAAGACATCCTAGACACAATTAAACACTTTATATAAATGTTTTAGGCCCTAAGGATTGCATCTAAGCTAATGTGGGACAAGGCACTTGTGTTTTAGGGTTTCAAAAGACCCCATATATGATTTTACTCTTCATATACTAACACACATAGAGTTTACGGTTGTAAACCCTTGAGTTTACGGCCGTAAACTCCCAACCAAGGGTGTATGGTGTGTTTTGAAGTCCGAAATGATTCCTAGAATTATTCCAACTTGGTTGTTAAATCTTTGAAAGGGTTTAAGGTCTAGAAATGCTCCAATTAGGAGTTTACGGCCCTAAGGCCATTCCCCTTAGAGTTTACAGCCGTAAACTCTTAAGTATGGGTGTTTTGGATGATTTCTAGTCTTATGCACAAGTGGTATAATTCCTAGGCATTTGTTTAAAGCTAATGGGGACCCTAGGCACACTTTGGTGCCCTTGCTTGGTGTTTACGACCTAGGAGCATTACCAAGGCGGTAAACTCACTTCAAGAGGTGATTTTGATGTGCTTTTGTCCTTTAATTAAGTGGGAACAATTCCATGTAAAGGTCTAGGGCTTTAGGTGTCTTAAAAACACCCTTGTGTCCATTACAATGGAGTTTACGGCCTAAGATTGCTCTTGGGCCGTGAACTCCCATGTGTTTGTGTTTCTTGATTGTTTTCTTGTCCTAAATACATATACCAAGGAGTCTAGGGTAGTATAATAACACAAGGAACAAGCTAGACTCGGTTTCGGCTTTGTTTCAGGAGTTTACCGCCCAAGAACACCTTGGGGAGTAAACTCCTAGATCTAATGATTTAGCCATCTAAATCATGTTATAAGCACATATAAAGCTTTCTAACATTACTATAAAGAGTTACTCATGTTTTGGTATAAAAACCCGAAGATCCTTGAGAGAGAAAATGGCTTTTCTCTAGTTAGAAATGTGAATAATGAATGAATTTGGTTCAGAATTCTATTTATAGTCTTGAGATATTTTTGGCAGAAAATATTTTTATTCCTGAAATGATCTCTAATAAAATAGAGTGTTGGAATAACAGTGTTGCACAAAACCCTAGTGCACCCACTCTCCTGAGATTTCCTGAAGTGTAAACCCTGAATTACTCAAACTTACACGAAAAATCTGAAAATTAACTGTGACTGCTATAACTTCTATTGAAGTGATATAGTTTGTACAGAATGGAAATTTCGGGTTGTCACATGTACAAATTTAATTTTGAAACAACTGTAAAACTTTTCTTTATGTAATGTAATGGTTGTTTTACTTTACTTACTATGTACATTGGATTTGATACTCAACGTGGAGTCAACCCCGGAAATGTTTCCGCCTTCGGTTTTCGGGGTGTGACAGATTGGTATCAGAGCCCTTGTTTATAGTGAATGAAGCTCAATGTATTGTAATTCTATCTCATGAACATTAATCTTGATCTGGTTGATTTAGAATAATATGCGAATTCTGTAAACAGGTTCCTGATCTTTCTGTACTGCTACTGCATCAAAACACCCAATCTACATGCCTCACACAACTGGAAGGTACCAAGCAAGGAGGTTCAGGAAGGCCCAATGCCTAATTGTGGAGCGATTAACCAACTCTCTCATGATTCATGGGAGAAACAATGATAAAAATCTCATGGTTGCTCACATATTCAAACACGCAATGGAAATCATCCATCTGTTAACCGATGCTAATCCCATTCAAATCATCGTAGATGCTGTCATCAACAGGTACACAATCAATCACCTTCTACAGTTTCACTCTACTTCTTTTCAACCATCCTTACATTTCCAGTAGTATCTCGGCCTGTGATGAAGCATGGATAATTTTTCATCTTTGATTACTCAGAAAACTCATGTTGATGTGAGTAATAATAGAGCTAGATTGGAGACACTCCTTAATTTCGTTAATATGGATATTAGTTACTACTAACACATACTTCGTTTTGGAATATGCAATTAGTGTTTTTACTTATTAGCTTTCCTGATTTAATGTAACCTGACATTTGACATTTCTTACAGATTATGGATTTGGAGTAGTCAATTCAAAGGTGAAGATAATCCATGTGACTGGAGTAAGTGACATGGATCCTTAGTTCCTTACAAATGGTCTAAATCAAAATGGAGATGCATAATGGTACTTCACATGTCAACCTCATAACTAGTTTTATTATTTTATACTTTCATTCTTTAAATTTCAAACCCATTTCAACAGGCGAGGTGGGATGAAGATGTTGTTAACGACAATCATGAATGGATCTCTCAACAAGAGATTGATTTTTCGGGTGTATCTGTACCACTTTTAAGCATTCATCATTCTCTAAGATTCAAAAAACTCCGGTCCTCTGCAACTGACACAGGTCCTATGCAACATTAAAACCAATATTAAAATTAGTGTAAACTGTTTTAATCATATTTATTATACTATTTGAAGAAGTAGGTTTTTGAAACTACCACAGGTTCTCTGCAACATTCAAGTCTTTACAAAAGTGATGTCTTCTCTTTTTGCTCCAAATTTTGAAGACCTCTTTACAAACACTTCATATGCACATCAAGTCAAATCTCTAAAACTTGAGATCATTTCTTCCATTGCTACAGATGAATCAATCTCAATTATCTTTTAAGAATTGCAGGTAGTTTTATTAATATATTTAAAAAAAATATTGGATTGAATATAATTTGGGATCCAAAACCATCAAGTTGTGTTTGAATATTCTATAGTGCATGTGCATTGGAAATCTCAATTCTCACACTCCATTTTTGCCTTAGTAGTTTCATATCCGACTCCATAATTCCTTATTTCTTCTTCTCCCTCTTAATTCTCAGCGCAGAAAAGAAAATAGTACTTGTTTGGTGGCACTAGGAACAAATGATGGTGAAGTCTTCACCATTAATGCCACTTCTGCAGAGTTAAAATGGTAATCTTCTGGACATTATCATAGGTATGCTAGGAAAAATAATATGATGATATGATCATAAATTTTCTGATTATTGATGGTTAAAATAACCAAATTTGGAGTAATACCTGAAGCTCAGAACTTTTCCATGTGCAGTAGAATTGCTGCTCTTTCTTTTGCAAACAAAGGGTGTAAACTTTGTGCTATAAGTACAAATGGAACAACATGCGAAATGAACTCTAAAACTTGTGAACTGTTAAAAGAAATGAAAATCTCAAATAAACTTATCTCTTCATCTGTATATATTTTTCTGGTGAGTCTTCCCAACACATGGTCCTTAAATTGTCTTAACCTTTTTCTTCTAACGTTTGTCTTCTTGTAATGATAGATGATAAAATATTAGCTGCATCAAATACCAAGATCAGAGTTCTCACCTTAGATGATGGAAAAAACCTACTTAAGTTTTCCACAGATACTGTATGTTCCTACCTTTTGTATGCACATTTTTAAAGTGATTACTGCAATTCTGATGATTTTTTTTTCTTTTCTTTAGGGTCCTGTGAATCATATGTTTATGTTGGATGATACAAACACCATAATTACATATGTATTTGGTGACAAGAATTTGCATGTGTGGAAAAATAGATAAAGTCAACAACCATTAGCTGTAGGAGACTATGCATCGAGTACAATTATTCCAACTTGTAAAGTTGTGATTGACATATCAAATGCTGCAAAAGATTTGATTGATTTATCGAAATCCCGATAATACCCTTTACATGCTTCCATCAACCCGATAAGCACTGTTGGAGGCAATGGGTGGCTCTACTGGACCTGATGCTGTCATTGCTACAAAAAGAATGTTGCCCTTTTGACTGCTCGAGACCCCTCTGATATTCCTTCTATTTGTCGTGTTCCTGCTGCCCTTCAATATCCTACAGGTGTGTGTATGTTTATGTGTGTTAGAGTGATGTGAAATTACTAAAATACCCTTGGTTAATTTTAGGGTTGGAAGGTTCGGATGCCGGCTTAGCATCGATAATCTATGGAATTCTATTTAAAGTTGCGGGGTTAAGAAGCTTGTGTTTTGAAGGACTTAGCCAAAGCTATCAATCTGGTGCATATCAGGAGGGATCTTGTGGAAAATGGTCATGCATTGTGAAACCATGCTTATCACAATCTATAAGAATACGAAAGGTATGAGGGTGGAACTAGAATCCGTGATTTCGACGGAATTGGAATATGCGATTCCATTCCAATGCCAAATAAACAGAGTTTAATTCTATTTGAAGGTGGAAGCAGAATCAGTGCTTCTGATGGAATCAGAATCTGTGATTATGTTGGAATCAGAATCTATGATTCCATTCCACTGCCAAATCAACAGAATTTAATTATATCTGAAGGTGGAACTAGAATCAACGATTACGACAGACATGGAATCAGTGATTCCGACGGAACCAAAACCTTAAAAAATTCAAATGAAAACCAAAATTGCAAGATAACCTTTTAACATTATGGGTAGTGTAATTGAATGTATTTTTGTATATGTATGATATCTTATTTTGCATTATTAGACATTAAATGTGTAATTTAATTTGTTTAATATCTGGTACAAATTAAGAATATATATATATATATATATATATATATATATATATATATATATATATATATATATATCGCCATGACATACAAAATGCTGTAAAACTATGTAAAAAATCATGTCGTATAGAATGTCATAAATGTTTGTCATAATTGCAAGAATGTTACAAATTACGACATACAAAGCCAATCATAAATGTATGTCGAAAATGTGTGTCGTGTATGTATGTCATAATTGTGGGTCATAAATGTCTGTCATAAAATTTATGACAGGCCAAATGTCTGTCATTATCTATTATGACATGTCTTTCAATGACAGACATTTGTCTGTCATGTATAGGCATTTATGACAGACAATGTCTATCAAGGAAACCCTTTTTTTCTAGTAGTCTTAGGTGCCTAATCCCATAACTATAATTGGTATGTACTTGAATTGATAGTAGCAATGTCCTTTTGGGTTGCCTTCAAACCTAACAATGGAATATGATAACTATTCGAGAGAGAAGAATGATTTGTTAATTTATTACTTTGTTAATAAATTAATTAGAAATGAAAATTAATGATTTACTAATCTATTATGGAAGCAATATATTAATTATAAATCATAATGTTTAGTTAATATTTAATCAGAAACTAATTTGGAATCAATTCTGGGATTAAAGGAATTAATTGAAACTGTAAGGACTAAAGGTGGCAATCTTCAATAGTTGAGAATTGAGGATTCTAGAACCTTCATACGGTAAGGGGAATGAAATATAGATTCTCCTAGGGTTTCCTTGGGCTCTAAGGGCGCCTTGGATGCCTTAGGGAGGAAGTTAAGAGATTAAGGTTATCTTGGATACACCTGCCTAATCCGATACCTTCCTAACACCTATATAAACCCTACACCATAAGGAATTTCGGCTATGCACTCTTAGAAAAGGTTAGATCCAAAAATTTGACCTACCCTTCTCTCTCCGTAGTATTCCTTGGTTGCTTGGTTTGTTTGTGAGCCATTAGCGGCGCGACACTTGTGATGCTTGCTACCGAAGGTCTTTCAAGCAAGGTTTTTAGATTGTTATTACAATATAACAATCAAGGTATATATATTAATCCTTATTATGTGAATTTCAATTATAATACATAGAACCTAGGGTTTCTTCTTTGTTTTCAAAGTTTGCATGTTCAATCAGAGAAAACTTAGATCCAATCAATTTAGGGTTGCATGCACACATAAGATTGTATGTTTTGCTCAAAACCTATCAGTGGTATCAGAGCTTAGGTTTAATTTTTCTATTGAATATGATGCAATTGTGAATTGTTCAAAGGAGTAGGGAACATAATCGACATTCTGTTTAATGAACTCATCGATTTGTCTTAGAACTCGTCGAGTTTGGTCCTCCAACTCGTCGATCTGGTGCGTCAGATCTGTTTTCGGATTTTCTTGCCTAATTTGATTTACTAGGTTAATATTTGCTAATTATCTTTTATTTATTCCACCATAATCTAATTTTGTTAATTTAAATATGACCTAAATGTTAGGAGATAATTATGAATTAGATAATGATGATTTATTTGATTGTGATTATCCTTATGGATATGGTTAATTAATTAATTGATTATTTAAAGGATAATTAACATATCCATACTTGGCTACTAGATAATTATTAATTGGATTGAATAATTATTATTTTTTGGGTTGTTTGAATTTTAAAATTAAAAGGTTTAATTTTGGAAATTTAAAATGAGAAACCCTAAAATATATTCTTATGGATTTTATAAATCCATATCTGGTTTAAATTTAGTTAAATTAAAAGTTTAATTTATTAAAATATTAGACCCTTGGAATTTTAAAATGTTTAAAATTCGCCTTATACTATATATATAATTAAGAGTTTAATATATATTATATGTAAAAGAAAAGTCAGTCGAACCACTAGTACGCCTTATTCACGAAGCCATACTATAATGGGAGTTTAAGGAAGTGGCTGTAAAATGACCGCCTTTGGGTATCCATTCTTACCCACCGCTCTCTTGTATGGTGGATGGTTGTTAGCTGAAAGGGTTCAATAGGATAATTAATCTCCATTAAAAGTATAATGATTAAGTAACTAAACCATTTTCTAAAATCCCATTCTTAGTTAGTTAAGGAAAAATGTGAATTTGATGCTAACCCATGAAATTGCAAATTGCACCTTATTGGTCGTTAGTGGAGCATGTGTGGTTAACCGACACACTAATATGGACTAATATTGTTGTCAATAGGTGTCTCGTAAATTATCATTGATTAATGGAGCGTGTATGGTTAACCGACACATTAATTGGGTGATAAATGACATCGAGAGTACCACACTAATTTTCATGGTTATTCACATCTCGTTTGTGATCATCGTAATCCCAGTCACAAAAGTGAGAGCATAACCGAGATTAAACATGTCATTGAATAGTTCAATGAATCTCAAAGACCTAGGAGTTTCATTAGATTGAAACTGGTAAATGCTTACCTTCCTAAAATAGATTTGAAAATGATTACTACATCCCTCTTCAGAATTCGAATCGAAAATATAGATCCTAGCCTTAATTTAAATTTTGGGTTAACAATTAAGGATTAAAAAACCAACTAACTTGAATTTTCTGTTCTCCCTTTATAAATGTCGAGTTCAGACAACAATGGTCTTCTTCATCCTTTTGGAGATGGTTTTCCTTCTCAATCTGAAGATGATCTTCCACAAGTTGATCAAGGTGAAAGAATGTTCCCTTCTTCAAATGGTGGAACTGGAAATCATGATTCTCCAAATCTTCCCCTACCCCCTCCAGTGATTCTCCCTGACCCACGTTTTCTTCAACTTGAAAAGTTCAAAGTTACTCAAGCCTTGTTGGCATGCAAACACCTAGATGAAAATTTTGTGTGTGGACATGTTCTAAAAATGAAGTCACACATTGATAGATTGGGAATGTTGGGTGTCGTTTTCCCAAAGGAGCTAGCTATTGACTTGGTTCTTCACTCGCTTCCTGAGTGATATAGTCAGTTCATTAAGCACTACTATATGACTGACCACGACATGACCCTAATTGATCTGACATATATGTTGATTAATGCTGAGGCATAAATACTTAAGAGCATAAATAAAGTGAATATGTTTAAAGGATTTGTCTCCCAAGTTTCCATGGATATTGACAATGGCAAGATTAGTAGTCTAGAAAAGGTTTCTCCTCCCAATGGAAAGGAATCGGCCAAGGTCAAACCGTTTGACCATATGGTAAAGATAAAGGCTAATTCTGAGATAGTTCCATGTGCCATTCTTGAAGAGTCCACCTGTTTCTATTTACAATTGAAGGGACATTGGATGCGAAGCTGCCCAGACTACCTGAAAGATCTTAGAGATAGTAAAGTCAAGTTCTGTGACACTACTTCAGGTACATCCACTATCTAACTCTATTAAGTTCATATTCATAGATTCTTAATACATGATGTGATAGTTACATTTTGATGTTTTGCATAATCGAAGAGAAAGAAGGAAGCTTAATAAGAGCAAGCTGAATTTGATCATGAAAGATGGATTTCGGTCGCATTGTTCGATGATCGGATTTTGAGCTACTGATTAGGAGCTATGATAGATTAATAGATTGCTTAGGAAATATCTAGAAACATAGTTTTCGTAATTTTGCATTGTAAGGACAAATTTTTCCGTATATTATCAATAGAAGTGAAATTTTGATTTATTTATTTCCTTGCAATGGCATTTATGAAAATTGGTGGTTATATTTCTATAATTAACAATGTTAAATGTGGATTGATTCTCAATTATATCGTTTGTGGTAATGGCATAATTAACCAAGTGAAAGGAAATTCTCATCACCCAAGTTTCAATTGGATAGAAACTTGGAGTCATACAATTTGAATTGTGTGGTGTATGAGAACCTTGATCGTTGGACGATCATGACTAATTCGTTGATCACATGTTTATGTGAATCAAGTGAAGGACTAAAGGATCTAGTACACATTGGTGTGGACTATTTAGATCCACCACAAATGAGATAATTCTATTCGTCATGATTTATTGATGATTCAGTAAATATGGTTATACTTATAAGATTAAGTGTAATTTAGATTCTTTGAAAGGATGTCAGAATGAACATGAAGAATCTATTAAGTAGAAAGATAAATCTTTCTTCAATTTTAAAGGAAAGGAGAGTACTTTAGTGTCATGTTGTATGATCATCTTCATGATTATGGAACCATGTCACAATTGATCCTCTAAGGACATCTTAGTGAAATTGTCTCAACTAAGAAGAGGAATCAGATATTGCTGAAATAGTTTAATCAAGAGATGAATCATACTTAATTTCCAAATCAAGTTTTAGAGTCACACTCTAGTAACTTCAAATCGTATCTTGAAGCTTTTTTCTAACTAATTAGGTTCATAACACCTCATGAAATGTGGAGGAAAAAATGTTTTCTTGCTCTAGCACATTTGAAATTGGTAGTTGTGATGTTTTGGTTAAAACAAAAATAAACTAATACCAATTAAATGAAGTGTTGTCTTGATAAGAACCCACACTAAATTTTGAATGTTTGTTTTTGCTTGTTGAGGAATGTTCCTTAACAAAGAAACTTATATATCAAGAAGTCAGTGGGAGTCTTAATGATCTTGAATAGTTTTAGGAGTCAATCAAGAATAAACCTGTTAGTTAACACTAGTACACGACCTGAGGTTTATTACTTATCGTGTTAAGTTGACACATTCTTGTTTTTGCACACCTTCCAGTAAAGTTGACTATGCATGTGGATTCTATAGTTCTCATTTGAATGCAAAATGCAGAGCACGTTAGTCAGTGATAGTACATTGGTCAATGGGAGTGAGCTGCATGGAAACTTGGAAGGGCTGGTAGGCCCTTGTGCCATCAGAGGGCGAGATACTAAGAATA